ATTGCATATTGTTGTTGGCACAAGTAGCTTCAGAGTAAATTTGTCTTCTATTATGAATGTAGGTTATTTGAAGAAAATTTTAGTCTGATAGTTAGAAGTGGCATTTCTTTGAACTGTTCAGTTAAAAGGTGGAAGAGATGAAAATCAGGTGTGCACAAAATGACTTTGCTGATCTCAGTATAGCACGTGTCGAATGATTTTTCTGTTGTTGATGATGAGATGTTTTGGGCCAGCGCTCAGAGTCCAACTCTGATCTAAAAGTGCCTCTTTTGCAGCGCAGAGATAGATAAATACCTTTACAGTCTTTTGTCTAGACCGCATGTTTAAAATGTTTTTTCTTGTTTGTCAGGGAACTCGGGTAGATTTAATCCCTTTCAAGAGCCCCCTACTGCTGAGATGGATGCAGAGCCCATGTATTACTAAGTTACAACAGTAATTTTGCAAGTAAAAACCTCCTTTGCTTTCTTTCAGTGTAAAATGGAAACTTATGGAAGTCCCAGTAATCTTATTTTCCACAAGGAAACCGTAAAGCCAAGATGCCATTAGAAGCAGGAGTGAGCTTCCTGCATTAAAAGTAGGTGAAAATAGGAGGGTGTTTTTCAAAAGTCTTCTAAAGCACGTTGCCGTTCTGTTGCCCTTCACTGCCTGTGATAAATCATATGCTTCCTGCAACTAAATCTGCACGTCTATAAAGTTCAAATTAGAGCTTCAGAAATTTATTTGCCATCAAATACATTAGTGGAAGTAATACGGCATCCTTCTATGGTTATTGGAAGACAAGTAGCAAACCAAGTTTTTCCTCTAAATGTTTCTGCTATAGCAATGTTTGTCTGCTTTTTGGGGAGACTAGATTATTTTAGAGTCCTTAAAATGTGATCTCATCCTTTGGAAGCTGCAGAGATGGGATAATTTTATGTATAAGCTCTCCTCATTGCTGCCAACAGGGAACTCTGTAGGCATAATTATTGCCATAGAAGTGGATGGTATAAAAGTACAGAAAACTAGGAGAGAACTGAACAAGAATGACTAAACGTGATCCTCTAAAACACAGAGTTTTCAGTCCATGTCTTTCAGATTTCCTTTGCCTGGTGTGGTGCTGGGAGGGACTGGTTATCTGAGTGAATGAAAACATAAAAAGTCGCCTCAAGAGAAACTTGGACAATTGCTGTATATTTGCAGGATGCTATCACCAGCCCCTTCAACGTTTTCTCTGGATGGCTGGAAAAAAGGGCAGCTGATGTGGGAAGAGCAGTAACATCATCCGTGAGGGTTCCTCTTTGCCATGGTGCAAAATATGAGCCAGTTTGCTGTACTGCCCCAAATGCTGGGCGGGCTGCTCATCTTGTAAGGAGGGCTAATTGAACTGCAGCTTGTGCCCCACGTGAAATACCAACAAAGAACAACGTTTGGAACATGAAAAAGAATTCAATATATTTTGATTAAAAATAACTCTGAAATCTAAAAGACAAAATTCTTCATTCTTATATCTAAATAGAACACTTTCTTTCAATCAGAAGTCTGAAATTTCATAAAATTAGCATGCTAGTGCATTAATTTTTATGAACTGGCATATTTAATGATACATGTTATCAGAAGAGCTTTGGCCAGTTCCTGACACATTGCCTGAGTAATATATTTATCAGTCAGGGAAAAGAGAGTTTTATATTATACCCTATACGTTCTCTCCTTCTGCAGTCCTGTTCTTACTGAATTCCCTTAGGTGGCAGTAAATGCAGTGTTTTTAGCAGAGAAGCGTTAGCCCACGTATTCAATGCGGAGTAAAAGTTTAGCTACACTTGCCCTATGGATGATCCCAGTTATGACTTGAGAAGTGGTGATCAGTGGTTTGTTTTCTGGAGAGTGCAGGCCTCAGCTTCAAGGGTGAAGTGTTTTAATGTAAAAAAGCACAGGTAAGCTTGAATGTGACCCACCAAGTAATGGAATGGTCTCTTAGGAATTAGCAGAATCAGAAATTATCTATTTTTTTCCTGTTGTTATAATAGAGACATGTAGGACAAATGCAACTCATCAAACATGATAAAGGATTATTTAAGTATGTTTCTTTGTTGAAAATGTCCTGTAGACCCTTGCCCAGTGTGCAATCCACATGAGAGATTACTACAGCAGTTATTCTTCTCTTTGAGGGGTGACTGGCCTCGTTCTGCTACCCTGGCTTTCCCCATGTAACACCTTCCTTTTCCTGTCATTCTGCAGATATCAAAAGCTGTGAGAGTCAATCCCTTTGTTAGCACACGAAAGCTGCACGACCCAGGAAAAGTGCGTCAGCTTTTTTTGATTTATTTGTTCAGAAATTTTCGCTTGCTGCCTTCTGAGTCAAATGACAAGTGTTTGGAGGCAGTGTAGCTTCAAAGTCCCCCTTTCTAAAGAACCTAATTATGTAGCTCATTCTACTAGAAAAATATTCCTGATCAAGGAAATTTAATGCATCCTGTTTCTCAAAGGATGAACCTACCAACTCTCTAAGCTGTTTTTCTTCACTAGCCTCATTCATCTAGTGAAAATGGGGGGGAAGCAGAGTACAGTTTTCAGGGCCCAAAGGCAGAGGATGAAAGCAGAAAGATTGGCTCCTCCTCTGCCTCACCCTCTCTGTGGGGAACAGCTTTTGCTTATCTCAAGGAAAAAAGTTAGTTATCTTCTTATTAACTTCCAAATGAGTATGGAACTCAACACACAGAACTATACTTAGTGATATTTTCCTCCTAGCTCTTCTCTAATACTTTTGACAATTCTAACTAAGGCAGATGTATGTAGCGTTTTCTTTCAGGAATCAATCTTCAGTAGCTGCTGGCCTTGGCTACTACTGAAACGAAATTTAGATATTTTAATTTTCTTTGTAACTTGCCATAGAAATATCGTAATAGATGGGGAAACAGAGAGGTGGAAGAATTTTCTTTAGATGAGCTTATGTCAGATCTGCTTGCTTTTGAAGAACTGTGATTATCAGAGATCCAAAATGGGCCAAGTCAAATTAGCGTTAATCAGCACTTCAATATCATTTATACTGTAAATACCTCATTCACCACAACTTACTACTGCCTCATTGTGGCAGCCTGTGAATAAATCTACAAGTATCTAGCAGATGCTTAGATATTTAGAGGATAAACCATGTCACTAAACAGATAGCCTGGTAGTCCAGATTTATGGGAACCCTGTGTGTTAAACAAAATTATATTCTTCTTCCTGTTGCTAGGGTGTGAGAGAGATGCATTAGTATGGAGTCAGCAACCTCATCTACTACAATGTTGATTACCTTCTTTTTTTGTAAATCATTGTTCAAATTATCTCCAAATTCTATCCAGTAGTCACTTTATTCATCTAGCTTATGAACCAGAAGCTGTCTATTAGGAAGATTTATTTAGAAGAGAGGGCTCTTTTACATAGACATCTGCATGCTTGCCTGATTGCCTACCTCCCCCCTTCCATTTAGAAATCCTGATACTAAGGTGGCTGCCTCTGAAAGATATAATGCGGAGGGTCTCTTAGCAAATCAGGGGTCTACACTTTCTTCTCTATTGCAAAATTCAGCGGCACTGCTCCTTGGCTGTGCTAACAGCTGTGGCAACAGCCCCGAGCAGGAGGAAAGGGCTGGGTACAGTTGCAGATGAAATGGAGCAGGAGAGAGCAGGCAGCATTTGGCTGAGCAGTTGGGTAGGGATGAGTTTAAAGCAACAGAGGGTTGGCAAAAGGATTTTGAAAACGGTCAAAGCGTGGAATAGTGCTAGTAGTATGTCCCACGATGCTGACAAAAGATCATTGAAAGCCTAGCTGGAAAGAGTTGTGTAAGGACTCTCTTAAATACATCTGATCTGAACAACATTTCTAATGCTAATGAGACTGGACACTTTTTATTGGACTACTCTAAGCTTGTTTTCACATTTTAATCATACTAAACTTTTTGACAGCAAGAAGACAAAGGGACTGTCTCTGCTTCTTCTCTGCAAATGGGACTAAGAGAGAGAAACTTTGGCTTTCTCTGGTTTAGAAACTTGGTAACACTCCAGTGTGTTTAAAAAAAAAAAAAAAAACAGAAAACAAAACCCAAAAAACGCAGTCTATTTTCATGAACAACTGCCTTCCCCCCCCCCCTTTTTTTTTAAACTATCTTATCCAAATGGTTGAAACCTTTCAGTAGGAAAGGAAGAAAATTGCTTTGAAATGGATGACTTTGTTGGTCATCCGTCTACTGCACTTTAAAACAGTAAATGGTCTTTCTGATGTCTGTTCTCACCATATATCTGTTCTCATTTTCAGATACTTTGGCCGGCAATTAGGGGATGCTTCTTAGAAGCAATAAAACATGCTATAGATGTGATGAAATAAAATGAATCTATAATGCTACAGAAGAAGCGTATATTGAATGCTTCTCCCAGGGATAAAGTGGGGCATTTAATCACCAAAGCTTCGGTCTTTGGCCTTTGAAATGCTTGATTACATACATTCAGGAGTCCTCTCCACCAGGGCATAAAACAGAAATTTGGAAAGGTTGGATTTTGATCTCCTGGTATTGATTTCTTCTGATATTCACTGAAACTTAAAAAAAAAAAAAATTAAACACTACACTTATGTTTTTATTGTCTCTATTATGATAAATATAGGAAAATGATATTTTGTTCAGTTCACTCTGAATTTTAATATTAAGAGCAATGCTCATTCAAGATTCTATTTTAACTTGTCTGGACTATTATGTAGTGACATCTGCCTGCTATAGAGTTTGAATGAAAAAGGCATTGCTGTCTGATTTTTTTTTTTGTATTATTGTTATAGATCCTACATTCTTGTGCAAGGCATAAAGTCAATTTAGCATAAATTCTTTACATAAATGCTATTTTTAGGTGCTACCAGGAATGGCTGTCAGTCATTAAATCCTTCGGAGCAATAACAACCAGGAGGGTTTAATGGAGCCCCCAGCAAAGATGAACATGGAAGATGATGGAAAGATGCTTCTGTGCCTGTGTGTCTGCAGCCTGGAGGAGAACAGAGCAAGGAGAACCTCTATAATTTACTGTGTTTCTCTGTCATAGGGGAAAAAAGAATTAAAACACATAACCTAAACCAAAGCCTAGGAAGGCTGTGGGAGGCTTTCTGTTAATGTCAGCGTGCACTAGATCTGATTGATATATTTCTAAAATATAAAACATTTCACACTGTGTGTTGAAGAGATTTTGCAAGCAGTGGACATGTTTAATGAGACCTTTTATCCTCTCTTTCCCAGATTTGCCCTTGAAGAAAATCCTCAAGCTGAATGCTGCTGAACTGTGGACAGAGTGAGGGTGAGGACAGAGTCTTTGTCTCTTCTTATTTGTTTGCTACACCTAATTTCTTTCTCATTTACTGTTTTGTTCTTCATTATCTGTGGGGTAATGGATTCTGAATCAGAAGCATATTTACAGATAGAGGTCTGGGCTATAGGGGCTATAGCTCTTCCCTCTACCCCATCAGCAGTGCTTGGTGCTTCCCTCCTGCAGCACATCATGTAGTCACAGAAATGTGGAGAGGTTGCTGGTACCTTTACACATAGATGCTGGCAAATATTTATTTTTCTCTCGGCGAGAAAGTGCAAGGTAGAATAGCCTCTAACAAATTAAGATCTGCTTTTCAGGTAGTTATATATGAGCACACCAGCATGTCAGTGTATTCCCAGGTCATTTGGTCACCTGTTATTTAGGTTCTTGAATGGAACTTTGTACCAAACACCTACATATCTCAAGTATTAGAAATCATAAAAGAAAAAAAAAGAAAGGAAGCAATGCTTTCCTTTTCCATGTGATTCTTGACAGCATGAGTCATACAAGCAATGAGGGATTTTTTTTCTCCACAAAATAATTCATCTCAAAGTGAGAAAAGTAGATCGGCCTCTTTGAAATGAGAAATCATTTCAAGGAAATCATCCCTTTCTTCTCATCTGGTACTCAGGCATTGACTCTGAGTGTGTTGCAAGTGGTTTTTGGACTGGGCTTCTCTTTTTCAGGATTCTGAGTGCCACAAACTTCAAGGCCATCTTCTACTTCTCTGTTCTATGTACTACAAGATATTTTCCCAGACATACGATCTTTCTTAGCTGGCTGGTAATGTCACTGAGAAGACTTGAGCATGGAGAAGATGAGGCCCCGAGGGAGCAGAATTTGCTCAGCTTTTTCATTCCTTGTCATCAGAAGACTGGGATGGAGGTGCTCTGCAGAGCATTTGGAAAGCCTGTTTTTGAGGCAGTCACTGCTTTAAGAAATGAGCTTCAACGGAGCAGAGAACGTGATGCAATTCCCATAGTAAACAGTGACAGTGGAAGTAGGAGAGAAATGTCTCTTATTTGGGTGCCAGCATGTCCTTGTGTGAATGATAGCATAACACCTGTAAAGATTTGGTGGTGCCCGGAGGTAGTTCTCTAGTGCAGAGAAGTGGCTGCACTGTTAAGAGCAGGATAAATGTTCTTCATGGGAACATTCACTTGCGGTCTGTAAGGAAGACACAGTTGAACCAAACCTAACATACACTTTCAAGAATTGAAAACAGTAGAGCCATATGGCACAGGGTGCCTGATAGTGGATGCTGGCTGATATGTTTTTCTGTGAGATTAGCAGGGGTATGTGAGTCAATACTGTGCCTTCAGGGATGTCAGAAGTTCTTATCCCTGGGCAACTCTGATTAAGGATGTCAGGCATCTCTGGTGGCATGAGGCATGAACCCTAGTATGCACCTCATATGTACTACTACTTTTTCCTACTGTGTGTCTGGCTTAGTGCAACTGTTAGATGCCCCTCTTCTGCACGCCCTGCTGCAGTCTGTGCGTTTTAGGATGTGCTATAGCACATGAGCCCTGTTCAGATTGCTCTGAATACTTCTCTTATAGGTCTCTGGAAATTTTACTACAGATCAAACAGTTGTTGATCGCTGGTCTGAATAGCAAGGTGATTCTGCCATACACCTTTGGGAATTGAGGCAAGAAAAGGGCCCTGGAGACAGACGGTCCTCTCCAAAGGGCCATAATAACCTTACAGATTTGTGTTCAGGCTACCCTAATCGGACTGCAGGTAGATTGGTGGTGTAGACAGTTTAGAAAGATGGAAAGAGTTCTTACAAGTTCCATGTGTGAAGCCATCTTGGGAGCCTGTCACAGTCTAGCGTATGTGAATCTGCTCACTTGTGTTCACAAAGGAAACACATGCGCTGGAGAGGCACCTTGCTTTCTGAATAGTGGTTGACTGAGGCATTTGTTTTGTTACCACCCGAGCCCTATGTTCAGCACCTACAAGCTGCTTCTGTCCCTGCAGAGGATCCCAAGAGAAGAGCCAGAGCAAGCCTCTGTGGTTAGAGAGACAGGACTTGCAGTGGGCTGTTTTCTGTGAAGTGTCTCCAGCTGTGGAGTTGGCTCCTCCAGTTTTGACAAATTTTTTGATTTTGTTAATTTTAGGGCTTCACTTCAAATCTCGTCCCTTACTTTGGGCATTCCTAGAGGAGTAGGCTCGAAAGACACAGGGCAATTGAGGGATGGTGACTTTGCTGTTATTTTAGGCTAGCTTTATTATTATCTGCAAATTAGCCTTAGAGGCCCAAGAATTGAAATGGGGTGAGGGAAAAGGGAGGCTTTGTCTCCAAGTGTGCATTTATATATAAGGTTTGTCTTAAGGTTTCCCTTGACATTTCATGTGATGACCCAGCAAATGTTCTGTTTCCAGCTGCTTGCTGTCTCCAGCACCTTCAGGTGGCTATGGTTTATCCCTAGATCATATGGACACCTCCTACTCAATACACGTGAACATATGGAACAAAGGAAGAACCCTTTCCTAAGCTTAATTTAATTCCATTAAGTGCACTCATAGCCAATGAACTGTGACTAGTATGGAGACTATGACAATTTGCATTGTTGAGCTGTTTTTAATGTTTAATATCCCAAAATATTTTGGAGAGTAGACAAGATGAGAGGTGATATCATGCACGTGGCAGGAGGGCAGGACAGTCCAGTAGAGCAAGTAGCTCTTGGCTTTCTGGGATTCTTTTGTTTGCTATATAGTATCAGTGCTATATAGTATCAGCTATATAGAATTATAGATAATCCCTGAAGCTAATACCTTTGGGCAGTTCATTCACCTACCGTAGAGCATGTGAAATATTCAATTGATGTAACACAGTACAAATATTTAGTAAAATCCATTTCTAGTGTTCACCTTTGGCTGAGAGAGGAAGTTTTGAACAATTAATCTCTTTTGTGCCCAGCTATGCAGCACATCCATTAGAGTATGTTCAGCACAATCCTGTTATCAAGCCCTGGATGCGCAAATGGCATTGCGTTTTAGGCAGTGAACTAGTTAAAGCGTATCCTACTCTTGTGCTGAGCACAGGAGAGAGAAAACATGTAACCAGAGCCAGGCTCCTACATCAAAAATGACAAGTTTAAATACAATGATGATTTTTCCATATTTGGCCATAATTAGCAAGAGTGAGCTCAGAAAGGCACTTAAACAGTTTACTAAGCCACTTCCTGTATCTTGCCTACATACTGGAGCTAATATCTTTGGCAAGTGCTTATCAGCAGCTGGTGGCCATGAATATTTTTGCTGCGCAGAAAAGCAGCAAGCTGTTTCTCGTGGTACTCAAATCTGTAGGCTCCTGGGCAGCGCTGTCGAGGTCTCTCATAGGAACTGTGTGCTTTTGTGCCCTGCTCAAGGCTGTCAGTACTTTAGCAGCTTTGGCAATGTGCTATTTCTGTCGCCAAGGCAAATCTGTGTACTCACAGAAACAAAGGACTATATATGATGTGATTTCTGTTAGCATGTTGGGTTGATAAAGTGGTCACATTCTGATTTTCACACACTCATTTAAGCAGTTCTTCAATTGCTTGCTTTCTTTGCAATTGAGAGAGAAGAGTTTAGAAGGATGCAGATGACAATAGTGCACGGAAAGAAATTTTCAGCAAGGTCACTGTGCTGTTTCATCAGATGAGGAGGAGGTTAAGGACAACTATTCAGGCTTGCTGAGAATGCAGATCTCTAGTAAGAGGTAGAGTTTCTCAAACATTCATCAGACAATTTATGCTAGGAATGTCATAATGTTTTTCAAACGCATTATTTCCCAGCTAGTTTATTTTTGTCCTTTCTCCTAGAGTTCCAGGGATAAAAAATTAAATTAATGGTCTGTTTACTGGAGGGAGGGGAGAAATTTCTGCTGCATTTTATTCAGATAATTGCACTGGTCCAAAGAGCATAAGAATAGTAAAATGTCACTGTTCTGATTTTGATTTCACTTTCTATCTGCTTTACCCTGAAGTGAATGACTTTGCAATGTTTAGAGCAATGGAAACTGGGTCTATTTGTGTGCATATGTGTTTCGTGTGCTTTAAAAAAAAAATCCTATATGGAGGCTCACCTGTCAAAATGGTATATTACCAGAGCAGCACTTTGCACATTTGGAAACTTGACAAGTGTGCTTAAAGAATTGGCAGGGCTGAGCCCCATTCTATTCTGTTCTATTAGCAATTGGTTTTAATTCCTGGAATACTTCATTTGGCCATGGCTGTGACTCATATTTCGGAGGACAAGGGATTGATTGATACGTTTTGTATTTGTACTGTTGATTTTTGCCTCTCCATCTTAGCAGTAGCTCCATTGTGGCATCTGAGCAAGCAGGGTCCACAAAGACATTCAGCCCACCCCGAGAGCGGCACATTGGTTGCCCCGTAGAGTTGTCTCTGGGTACCTAGAGTCATATGTTGTGTAATATGTGCCCAAAATCCAAAGCAGGGCCTCCTAAAAGGAGGAAGAGACCCTCCTCACAAGAGAGTGAGGAGGCCCAGCAAATGAGGTCAGTAGGATCTAAAAGGATCAACATTTCACCCCTCTCTTCCTGGTCTCATAACAAATGTCATCCTTCCAACTGCGGTCCTGTGCTGCCAGATGTTGTGATACGTCCCTTGAATATATAGGATTCTTTTTCAAGAAGACCTTGGGTAAATATTTTTGATAAAATATCAAAATAATAATATGAATTTTTGATAATAAATTATCCAAAATATTTTGATAAATCCTATCAAAATAATGTGACAGTGCAGGTATGTTTAATTATTCCTTTACATGTGCCTGTTAATCATTACAAAGCTGAAAAGCCATCATGCTGCAGTGCAGCTGCAGGAAGAAACCAAAAAACATATTCAGTAATCCATTTGAGATGGATAGGAAGCACCATTCATGAAAACTTTTCTGAAGCACCATTCATGAAAACTGCAAACAGCAAAGTCTTCATTTAAAAAAAAAAAAAAAAAGTACATGAAGCTTCCTGCACAGTGGGCAGAAGAGGGAGATGGTTACAATATTTCCAGAACTCTTAATAATCAGAGACAGTGAAAGGAAGTCAAAGATGTGGAAATCCTTCTCCACTGACAGGATCTACCACATCTTGGTAGAAGCATGCAGGGAACTGACAGTGCTAGACAAAAGCATTTGCAAATTCCCTAGAACACTGTGATCTCCTGAAGCATTTAATTTAAGAGTGCAACTTTTTCTTTTTATATTCAACTGCCACATAACAGTACTGAGTTTTTTATAGTGTGGACATAAGTCATAACTTTAAGTCAGGTGAATGTGAACAGTGAACATATGGACTAATTAGAGATGGAATGGATCTGCGATATAACAGAGTTCCAGTGAGGTCAGGAATATTACAAAAAATGCAATTTTCTCCTTCTTTGCCTGGAAGCAGTTACCTGTTTTAATTCTTCTTATTGAAATATGAATCATATGAGTCCTACCTTTAATTTGTTTCTTCATCTGTGCTATGTTGACTTCATGGGTTATACAAAACTCAGCAGGGGAGAGCCGTGAGACTATATGTCAGGCATTACAGTGCATTAGAGTAGTCGCTTTTATCTCTAACGTATCAGATGTTGTCATCGAGTTTTCTGAGTAAAGGTGTTATTTTTCTCAGAATCTCCTGAGGCTATTTGTCTGAATTAGCAGTAGTACAAGCTTCTTCATAAAGTTGAAATACATTTGACTGTGAAGAAATTTTATGGTAAATACACCCACTTAGTATTTCTAAACGAAGTGACAAAAAAGTTTTTCTGCCACTCAGAAAGCTTTCTATATAAAATTCATTTTGAAACTGTTGCAGTAACATTAAAAGTCAGAGTATTTTCCCCTTAAGGGACCAGATGGTGAACTCTGACTTGTGATACGCAAGCTAACTGCTCTGAGGGCTACAAATCAAACCCACGTTCCAACCAGACGCCCGTAGCTGCTGAGGCTGTAGCAGCATCCCAGGTACGTGATTAGAAGTCCTGTTTCTTGTTCTTGCTGTGATGTGCCAAGTTTTCCCATAGTCCTGTGTGAATATGTAGGTACTTTTTAATCTTTTGACCCTGTCCAAAGAAACTTTTTAGTCACTGACCTCAGCAAATGCAGACTGGAATGTTTTATAGAACGCCACAATTTGAAAGAAAAAATTATGCAAAGAGATAATCCAGCTGTCAATGGCCAAAACTGTGAACAGTTTCCTTAAACTAAAGATGAGCTCGGTTGTTGTCCACCGAACTTTCATGGTAAAAGAAAATATGGGCTAAATATACCCTGTTCCTCGTTCATGCATGACAATAATGCGTGACTGTGCAGCTCCACACACCAGTTCAAGACTGGGAGCTTCCTGAGTCCCAGCGCCTCCAGCTTCCCCATAAGCTGGCCCTGGTGTTGAGGATGTTGTTCCACACAGTGTTATTTCCCATCCCAGTGTTTTCCTCCTCTCCTTTAACAGAACTGATGAATAGACATCCCTGAATGAAGTAGTTTGGCATTTGTTTTCTGATGTGGCAAACAACAAACGTTGCAATGTCATAGCTGTGTTCAAGGCCTTCTTATTCATCAGCAGCCTTAAACTAGCTGCGCCCTGTCATTATGAAACACTGTAGATATTTTTTTTCATCAGTTACAAAGTAGAATTTGACGAGAGCAGTACTTGGAGAACAACAAGCAAAAAGAGACATCTTGTACCTCTGAATAGGGCGTTCATAGATTACTTTTATTATCAGCTCTTTGCCACAGGATGGTTCACCCTTCAAAAACTCTCAGGTCTATTCCAAAGAGCAACTATCCTTGTGAGGCTTACCTTCAGACTAGCTTAACCCCTTCACCCCTAAATTCTTTACTACCTCATGCTGAGCTCTGTGTAGCTCCTTGTGTTTAGAAGGGTGAAGAAGTCCTGTGGTGCTGATCGTCTGAAGACCACGAGCCAGTTCAGCATGGCAATGCTTTACAGTATTCTCCTCCTCATTCTTGCTGTGACCAGGCAGGAGTCAGTACATGCACTGCACTTAACTTGCTCTCTGATTCACGGACTCTGTGACTCTGGGTGTAGTTTCTATGCAACATGTCTCTGACTGTGCAAGGCCTGCTTAGTGGTTGTTATTGCTGTTTGAGCATCCTGCACTTCAATTTTCTATTTAAGTGGTGATCCAGTAGAAGTAGGATGTTTTTGCCCATGTATTGTAGTGTATCTTGTGAAGAACAATTATTTGAACCCTTAGAGGATAACGGACAGTGAGTTTTCCCCTACTAACTAAACCTTTTGTTTTTTGGCATTGGTTTGAGGGTAGAGGTGTCAGGATGCATATCTCAGGCTCTGTAAAGGTGAGAAAACATTATGAGTGTACACAATAAGCCTTTGCAGCTTTTTATAGATGGTGATCGCTGTACAGTGCCGGAGCAAGAGAGGTTGTAGTAAGTGCTGGTGTTTATGGAGAAGCGGTTTGTCCATTCATGTCACTGAGTGCAAGAACTGCATTTGCTGCCCTTTGCTTATAGACTGACCCTGCTTTACTGATGGTATTTGAAATGCTACAAGTAGTTGCACTGCTCAGGTGTCTGGCATTTGAATCAAAATCTGTTATAACTGTTATAGGGAGGGGATTTTATGATCATAATGTCCCAATGACAGTGGCAAGGGAAAGAATCAGGAACGTTCAGCTAATGTTTATTTGCAGACATTTCTACATATTCTTAAAATAACAGTTGTTGCTGCAGAAAAAGCAGGAACGGCCTGATCTCTGCCTCTACAAGAAAGTAGAGATACAGTAGATCGACAGATAGATAGGTAGTGTACATTATTAGGGATAGAAAACTAAGACAAGATGCGAAAATGCAAGTCATGCTTTAGATGGAAGATAGTTGGTTTTGCTGCACTGCCTTTTAATGGCAATTCCTTTGCAGGATACTTCAAATGTGATGGATTGAGGCACACACATAATGACCTGTTCCAGTCAGAAATTGAGACAGTCTCAAAGGAAGCTGCCGGCCACATCTATAGAATGAGACAGGTGAGTATACACAAGAGCAGTGGTGATACAATTTTACATGTATATCTTCCTGCTAAAAAATAAAAAAGTCAGGATTGCACATTTTGGAGGATTAATCATCCTTAATTTATTACCAACAGGAATAATATTCACTTTGTTTCTATTTCACAGGGACACCCAAGTAACATTTAAAAGGCATAAATAAAATGAAGCCCATGTAGGCTGTGGGTCTGTGTAGCAGCTGTTCTCATGACGCTATATTTTATCTGCATATCTTTAATCATTTTTTCCTGAGTAACTGTCTCAATTTATCAAAATACTTGTAAATGGATTCAGTTTCTAGTGAAACTTGCTTTTACTAGCACACCAAAATGACAAGACTTATACCCAGTGGGAAGAAAAAAAACCCCCAAATGTATTTTCCACTCCAGGTCGAACAGCTCGGTCCTGAGGCATTTGCCATGATGATTGTGTGAAGCCAGTACTCTCATTTAGCCAGCTACTTCATTTCTGGGGAGGCACATTTCTTTTCATCAGACAGATTTCTCCACGACTGAACAAGCACCAACGAAACGGTAGGCGACAGAGGAAGGCTGTGTGTTTCAGTAGGTAAGGAGCTCACCTGGAGAGGAGGGATACTGGGGTTCTTCCCTGTCTCTGCCAGTGACTCACTGTGTCCTTGTGTCCTTGTCTTATTTTCCTCCCCTGTGTAATGGGTTAATGATTTATTCCTGTATTTTGGAAGCTCTCTATAGTCCGAGGATGCCTGGGGGGCTATGTGACAATTTACTGCAATAATGAAACAGATTAGTTGTTAACCACTTCCCATCGTTTCTCCAGCAAATGAAGTGTCTGCAATAGCAGAGCCTTGTTGTAACTGACCCTCTGTTGAGTGCACAGGTATGGGAAGATTGCTTAGGTCTCTTGCCCTTCCAAATCCATCACTGGCCTTCTTATGAGATAACATAAATCCCTGTATTAGACTCATCAAACAGGGAGGAGCAATGTTAGGTTTTGAGAAAATAGTGACAAGAGCAGGTACCATCATGATGGGGGAAATTCATCACCTCCTCTCATAGGGTGACACGTGACTGCTCTCCAGAGCTATCCTGGAGGAAGTAAGTTGGTTAAAGTACAGTACGTGGTATCATTTTTCAATAATTAAATCATGCAGATATGCTGACATTGTCTGCTGACACTTGGTAGGCCAGTCTAACAGATCATCTGTGTATGGGATGCCACAACTGCTTGTGCGCTTGCAGTCATGGCAAGGTTGTGCACCTGAAGTTGTAGAAATCCACATGCTTTGCCTGCACGCTGAATAAAATCAGCCTTACAGTTCAGATCAATATATTGAACTTTATCTCTGCTATATGAATCAAAAAACCCAGATGTCAAGTCTGTTTTTTAAGCCCTAGTCAATAAGAACAAAAGTGAGAGTTTGAAGTGTTTCCTAAAGCAGGGGCTCTCTGTGTGCATTGGACAGCCCGAGGCATCGCAGAAGGGTCCGCAGTATGAAAAAGCTGGTGGAGTTAGTTGTGTAGCTTAGTGGATAGTTCCCTCTTCACAGGAGTTGCTTATAGGGTAATTGGAGCACGAATGTCATGGCTTTACACACAGGCAGTGCTGAGCATTAACTACACTGTATGTTTGGCATTGTCTTGAGCCCATCCTTTATTCATCTAAATTAGTATATAGATAGGTAAGCAGCAGTCCTGTTACCAAGCAGAAAAATTTACAGCCCCCTGTCTCAGCTGAGAGGCCGTGCAGCTTTCCCAGCTGAGGGCACTCATGTTCTTGGTGTGCCTGACTGGTAGTGTAAGGTAGGCAGCTGGGAGTTGGTGCTGGCCAGCTGGCACTGGTCCCAGCTGGCAGAGCAGCAAGGACTTTCATACTGCCTCTGTATTGAGACCAGTGCCTGCAGTCAGATTAATTTAGCTTTGACCACTGGTGGGAAAGAGGATTAGAGAAGCCCTCTCAAAAGCAGGCACCCATTTCAGCTGCGAGCCAGGGCCCTGCCACCTCCTAGCTGAGATTAATGCAGTCCATCATCTCCTAGACTTAGGCTCCCCGTATAGGCAGTATGGCCTAGAAAATATGGGAAAATGCTGCATTGGATGTGATTCTCTTTCCATCAAAACTCCTTGTCTTGTTTTGCCAGCTCCCAGGAACATTAAAATCTTATGCAGTTTACACCAAAACCATGCAGTTTTCAGTGTAAATGAGATTCAGGCCACTGGGTATTTCACTTGTGGTCATAGTCTTTGTTTAAGTGGCCAGATGTCCTAAGCTGGTGCGTACAGCTGGACAATCAATTATCTGCTACAGAGATATAGTAGAGGCCTTACTGCTTTATTACGATAAAACTCAATTTTATCCTTGGCTTTTTGCCTTGGTCATATTTACAGTGTTACACCTGATCTATTTAAATCATTTGGGTAGCAAGTTGGATACTCTGTGAAAGCAGTCCTAATTCCAGCCTGAAAAATAGGTAGCAGTTTAATGGATACAGAAGAATAATTATTTTTCATATTAAAAAGTGGATATATGACAGTTCATTGTACCAACTGACTGTTTTGCTGCAGGCAAAATACATTTTTGATAAAGTACATTGACAAAATGAACCTAACTAGTTTGACCAACATATCACACTGGCAAGCCAGTGCTTTTGCTACCTGTGTACAAGACATGATTTTATGTGATCGTACATAAAAGCAGCTACAACAGATGTTGTTATAAACACAAGTGAAATAAGAAAAACAATGAAGCCAGGAGCGAGTATCAGCCCACATCAAGTGAATCAGCTAGTTGGTAAATGAGATCCATGCAGCCCCATCTTGGGGGCTGTGTTTCTCAGGCTGTAGTTTGTGGGTGGCTGCTGCTGCTGCTGCTCTTTAAGACATCAGAAGGTCTTCTGTCAAACAGCTGCAAAGAGAAAGGAAACTCCTTCTTAACAAGTCTACACACACATTTCCACAAATGCAAGCTAGCAACATGTGTGTGTGTTTGAAATTAACAGTCTATGTTTTAACTGGCTGTAGATGAAATTATTGCAGCAGCTCTACAGAACATGATCTCAGGAAGCTGAGATATTCCTTTGCTCTAAAGATGAGGTTTGGAAATATTGTTTTAGGAAATGCAGCTGTACCCTCCTATCGTGCTCTCCTCGTCTGCTGCCATGCACACACCTCAGCTCTAGCAGCTCCCCAAGATGTTCCCACTGAGGTGCAGGGTGCCCTGCTGGGGAGCAGCCTGACGCTCTCCCACTTCAGCGCTTACATTAATTACTGCACTTACCCATATCCAGATCAGAGGGGGTTTTTTTTCTTTATTGGTTTTATTCTTTTTCACTAATGCAGAGAAAATCCAGCTTTTAGAACTGCTCTGCAGGAAAATGTCATGTAAATATTACTAACCCGTGAAATCCAAAGGAGCTTTGCAGAGCACGCTGCCAGATAAGTCTGTTTGACCAGACTGCAGGGAGAGGCAACGGAAGACTGACAGGAAAGGTCTTGGATAAAGTTTAAATATGGAGTTGTTGGAAGCTTTGCTGCACAAAGATGCAAGGCCAGTATCGTTTGAACAAAGCAAATGTCCCTCGTGCGGCTGCTATGCCACTGCGAGGCAGCAGATGGGGATACTGCTGCACAAACTGCCGCAGAAGCTGCCGAGTGAAGCCCAGGGCAGCGGCCGAGCTAGAGCGCTGGGGAGGTCTCGCATTAGTTACCCAGGAAGCGCAGAGAGCTGTGGATGTGTTAAGCACTTTAACGATGGCATATTGTATTAATTAAACAAAAAGGAGGGTGGGCGTTAGAGAGTTTTTCAAGGGAATCATTTCCCTGGCTATTGCAGTTAATTTGAGAAAAAAAGAAGAAAAGTAAGAAACGTCAAGAACTTCCAGTCAAAAATGTACCAAACACCAGAGCTATAAATCTTGTGGTCACAATAGTATACGGGGACCTAAGGACTACTGATTTGAATAAGAGTCAGACAAGTAAGAAGAGGTTTAGGAATTGTGGACCTGGCTGAATGAGATTTTTATGAAACCAGTGTAAACATTTCCTAATTGATATGAAGGTGTGGAAACCTCTTCAAGGCTTTGGAGCAAATGGTGACTTAAAAGACTAACTGCCCTTTACCAATTTAAGTGTTGATCCAGAGAGTTATTTTCATACCATTCATGGAAGAAAACTCTACAGCTCTGGAAGCTCCCTGGCTGCAAGTGCAGGCCATATTAACAGGCCTATATTGCAGGTGTGCTGTGGTACCCACACATGCATCTGTCCTCGCCAAAGGGGGAGCGCACCGGGGGAGTGCCTGTACATACGTGATGGCAGGCAGAGCCAAAGAGGGACACAAATGAAATAAATTCAGAAGAGAAGACAAGTTTGGAAAGAAACAAGTTACCAGGAAATACCTGAGAACTCTGAATATTCCAGCAAACTAAAGGAAATGGTATAGGTATGTACAACATACACATTTCCTTAGCTGCTTTTTTCTGTATTGAGAATCCATCATGTTCCAATTGTATCAGTCAGTTATCTCATGCTAGCTATTGGGCTTCAGAGCCAAGTCCTTAACTGGTGTAAGCTGTTGTAACTCGGCTGACTTCAGTAAGCAGTAGCAACATATGCTAATATCTCTCTCTCTGTGCGTCTCCCTCCATCCCTGCCAACTCTTAGACCTTCCCTGAAAAGCTTTCCTTTTCCAACCAATTCTTCAAGGCTAAGTCTTATGATAGTTTAACACGGTTTTCAGTCCGTGAAGTTTACACTGTTCTTAGCCCAAGTACTTATTTCCTAATAGTTAAACTTCCAGTTGTTTCCTTAATCTCTCTTAGCTGTATCTGTGGTTTCTCCTTAGGTACCTTAAGCATCTCTCTCACTTGACTCTCTGTGTTCAAGTAGGTAATACAAATGGAATATGACTGTTTATAAACAAGCATTATGCTGAAATGGCTTATCAAAAATTAGAGAAAATGTCGAATAACCATCTCATTATTTTTCTTTCTGATTTGGATAAAAGTTTGTTTAGCAGCCACAACTTTCTTTGAACACATCAGGGCTTACAAATGGGAGCATGATATGTATCTCCACTGGTTTGTACATCAAAGGTGCTCTATTTCTGGAGAAGAAAAAAAAAAAAAACCTCTTATGATTCAGCTACTTAGACATTGAAGTTAGTAGCCAGACACTTAGAAAAACTCTTCTGCCATTTGGACGCCTCCTCAGTGAGAAAACTACCTTACCCAGCCCTGAAAATGTGTCTGAAAATAAGGGGAACCACTGAGGAGTTCTTTGCTAATTTGAGGATGTCACAATGGTATTCACTCTTTCAAAAATCTGGGCCCAAATGGGTTTGCAGTGTTTTCAGGGTAAAAGCCAAGAGCTGCTACTGTTAAGTAAAAGCTATTGGCTTTTACTTAGAAAACACTGTAAACCAGTGTCTCTGGGGAATTGCGCAGGATGAATGTCTTAACTGTCTAAGCTGCTGTGCATTAGCATGAATCTGTGGGTTAAATTATTATTTGCAATTTGAGGTTTCCTGAAAACCTTCTGAAGAGAGACCAGGAAGAAGCTGCACAATCATTTTTGTTTTGCCTAATGAGCCTGGCTAAGTAGAAGGTCACCTTAGAGTAGAATTTTTCTAGGGTACCAACCTTTCCTCATCCTATAGCATGCGTCTGATAAAATGGCTGGATTTCGAGACGTGTGCGCTTCACTAATTGAAGGTCATATTAGCATGAATGGAACTAACCTTGGCTGCTAGCCACCACTGTAATTTAGCATTGGTTTTCTTACAAAGCACAGAGATGTTTTTCCTATAAGAGGTACTCTTGATAATACAGTCTCATAAAATCTAATGGAGAATGGTAGATTCATATCTAACAATAATTTAGTCTTTCCCCTGTTTTCAACAGTTATAATGAATGAACAGATAGAAATAATATCCACATGATAGCAAAGATGTAGTAATGTCTTGTGTTTATGTGTATGAAATACCGCACAACTCTCTACAGTGAATTAAGGCTTTGTTGATCTTAAGCAATTAAAGAATCAGTTGGATTACAACACATAGCTTCAGTGAGAGTTTGCTAGATCTTAGGAAATGAATGCAGTATTCATGAATATGGAAAAGGATTCCTTATGGGATTCAGAAACAAGGTGACAGTGCAGCAGCTGGCAAACAAGTCTGTGGCTATTGGTGCAAGGGTATAAATATCGTTCACTGCTGTAAGCGCAAGTTAAAGATGTAGCATATGCTGTCCTTTTCTTGTTCAAAAAGAACTGTTGAATCAATTCAGAAACACAGTAAATAACAGCTTCTGTTGTTTATGTTATATGACTGGATTTTTTTTTAATGTGTTGCTTTGAAGCTTCTCATGCTGGCCACTGTCAGAAGCAGGATACTTGCCTCAGTGATGCATTTGGTCCTAACCAGTTTAGTTGTTTGTTATGAACCTATAACTAGCACTTACTAGGTACTTAGGTCTTTCTGAATTTATTTGAGCACTGGGAAGTGTTGCGAGAAGGGGTATGACTCTCAGGTTCATACTGGTTATAGATTGTATTCAAGTAGTGGGAGATAGGTGCATTTGCAGAATATTTGGAGTTGTTGGGCAGCAAAGTATTTTGAAATGAATTCCAGCTGATAAAACCATGATCCTAAATCAAAGCTCTCCGTAAAAGCACAAATGCTGCCCAGCGTAATTGGCTAGACTTGCCACCTAGAAGTTACAGATGGGTGCAAATTAGCTTGTACATATACAACAGGTCTCACAGACCCAAACATTGAAACCACCTGGTTATACCTGGCTTTATTTAGTCTTTCTTCACCAGAGCGCCCTATCTGAAGGTTGTGTCTTCATTGATTTGGGACTTATATGAGGATTAGATCAATTATAGATGGGATGGTAGGATAATACAGGGCTCTTAGGAAGGGGAGAAATTGTAGCCTTCTTTGTCTGAGGGTCAGTATGTGACACTGGGAGAATTTGCCACAACTTGGTTTCCTTGTAAGGGCTATAAAAATTTGTCAGGTTAAGTGGCATTATTGATTTTTTTTTTCTTTTTCTATTTGAGTGAGAAGAAACGATAATAGTAAGTATAGTTAGAATTTATGTAGAGAGAAGAATTTGTGGCCATACTGGAAAATGCTGAGCAAGGAGACAACTGTGAAGAGATGCCTCTCTGTTTCTGAATAATTGGGTAGCAGGATCCTAAGGCAATTTGTTTATTAGAGAATCTTTCTCACAAAACTTTTCACTGAAATATGCGGATTCCTGAGGCATGTCACCCTGAAAAAAAATCAGCATAGTTTTGCGCAATTTAATTTTGTACACGTCAACACATTTCTTGATTACACTTCAAGCTTTCAAAAAAGATGCCAATGTTTTCTGCCGTAAAATCAGGACTTAAATCTTCATTCAGTTGTTTTTACTCACAGCACTGTTCTCTGTGGACAGAAGCAGACCGTCTGCACATGCTTTGTTCTCTATCCACAGCCCTGGCATATGTTCAGTGACATTGTATAGACCAAGACATTAGTGCAAGCACTGGTTTACCAAATGCTGTCAGATCAGAAAAATGGTTGACCAAGCTCTGGTGACTTATTTTTTATTGTTCTTCTCTTCTTATATATAGGTCAGAGGAAGAAAAACCATATTACAATTACAACATATGCCACATACAAACCCTAATTTACAACTGCAGGGGAACACTGCATTCTGGATTATCTGTCAGTTGTAGACAGCATCTATCACTACAGAGTTATAACGAGGGAGAAATGGAAGGCTGTCTTTTTGTTCCCAGGTAGTATTCTGTTCTGTGATGCAATGGTGAAATAATAATTACTTTTATCAGAACAAGAGTAAATGTGGAAGGAATGATTAATTATTTGGCACTGGGATAGCTTAAAGTTCTGTCCAGGGTCTGTATATTCGTTAATCACTTGTTAAATCAAGATCATGCTACTGTCTTTGGAGGAGGAGCAGTCTTTTCAGCTGCGTTGGTGCTGTGGTTTGTACAATCGATTGCGCGTTCCAAGGTGCTTTCTGGAACAAAATAACTGTTAGGATAATACATTATTCTTCTTAAATATACAGGTTTCCTCGTCATGCCTATAGTGCTCAGGTACGATCTTGTAGGTCTCACCCTATTATTTTCCTGTTTTTGTATGCTTTAAAATGGTCATTGTCATAGGATTTAGCACAGCACATCCTTGATAAGTTTTTCTGTCCCAACAGAAGTGATTGACTGGAATTAGCTGGTGACTTACCGGCATCCCTTAACAGCGAAAACCTGCTATCAAGTGAGCAGGTAAGTGTGAGCCTTTCCTGCCACATGTTTACCTGCCCAGCACCTCTGCTGCGTTCATACTGTGCCAAATGTGATATTATAGAGTACATATGTATTCTTTATCTAGATATGACAGTGGAAGGGTCATATTCATGATTGTTTCCAAAATATATCTTCAAGTGTTTCTGTGTTGAAGAGATTTTCGAAGAACTTTGTGAAGGCTCCACTTGGTGTTGACAGTGTGATATATATGGAGATCATGCTTTGTGGTATTTTCACTTAATTTTACAGGGGAGATGTCAGAATTGATTAATAACTGCAGTGATTGCTTGGATCTGTTAGCACTTTATACATATAGTGGCATAGACTGAAGGCTGCTGAACAGGTTCAGCTTTGCCCTGTTCTGCCTCCATTAGCTGCTACTTTTTTCAGATGTGGCCATGCCCTTCATTATCATTTCTTGCCATATTAAATAGTTGCTGCATTCCCCTGAATGGGAGGGTAGAGGGTCTTATTTACTATTCATCTCTCAGCTGATAGTTTGTGAGTGAAGAAAGCCATCATACACACGTATTTGCTTTCTTTGTATGATGAATTCCTGTTTCCCTTCAAGACACCTGTGCCCATGATATTCAGTATTTAATAAAGTAAATCAGGATACAGTTTGCCACTATACAGCTGAAGATTTACTAAAATAAAACCAAGTAGATATCTGTCCTTCAGCTTTTTGCTTACTTTGCTCTGGCATCATTATTCTGCGAGATCTTGGTAGTCCTATGAACTTTATTGCTAAGGGAACACTAATTCCTTTCAGAAGCAGTGCATGTTATGGGCAGCGTAGAATCCAGAGGTGCAGGGGCTGATTAAGAACATAGATTCTGTCCAGGGCTATGTGGATATCCCAACGTTACGAAAAAATAACAAATGAGTTGAAAGTTCAGGTACTTCTAGAAATGAAAAATGAAGAAAAGGCAAAAATGTATGAACTCATTTGAAAAGGTTAACTTCCCCCTGCCCTCACACATGCAAATCGGAGGACTCAGCTATTTTGGGCATTGCAAGGACCGCACACGGCAATTGCAGTGAGTCGGTTATCCCTTGTTGGAAACCCCTGAAATTCCAATAATCAAAATAAACAGTGTTATGAATTTAGCATTGCTGAGAGATGCTAAAGAATATGTCACACTGAAGGTGTGAAGTACAAGACTGAATCAATAAGTAGACCTCTGACTAACTGGAAATACTGGGGCAGATTCAGATTTTTGTCTCATTCATACAAATCCATGCATATCAGGGATCAAATTGTGTCTCGCAGTGGTGCTGTATGAAATATGCATGAAAACATACAAAAATATGCATGAAAGCATATTTGCTAACCTCAGTGTAGGGGACGTTCTAGGGAACACACCTTTTTTGCAAAGCATTTCCTAGGTTTTGTAGGCTCCTGGATTTGTGAGATGTCATATTTGTTAGACATTCCCATTCCCATTACTCACCATCATAAGTTAAAAATGACAATACCAGCTTTTGTAACCTGGGCTGACTGTGTTGTATTGGTCTAAGTAGTAAGGTTCTTAAGCTGAGAGCATTTTGTTTATGTATTCTATCCACAAGGGAAAATATAGTTCTGCTATCACTGGGACACACAAGGGACAGTTAAATCTAATAAGTTAATCTAGACTTCTAGAAACAAAATTAAATTTTCAAATAAAGGCAAAGTGACAGCTAAGGCATAAATCTTTTGTTCAAAATAGAAAATAAGCCCATTCAAATGCAATCAGAGAAGACAGATGTAGGTAAAAACAAGTAGGGAGGATATATGGTGCATAAATTTGCTACGTCTGTATGATAGATCAAACAGGGTGACCTTAAAGATGTTCCTAAAACATCAGCTAAAATATGAAATTTGCATATATTTAAATACTGCTTTTTAATGTGAGATGGACTGGAAGGAATGTTAATATTGAAAGTAAAATACAGAACAGGTGTAAAGTGTACAACAAAAGGGTCACATTAGCTATCAGAATGGCTGAAATGTTAATATTTACTAGCTTGGAGCTGGCAGCAAGTTCTGAAAATGAGAAATATTCTTTTCTGCTGTTTAATATATCTTTTCAGGTAAACTATTTAGCTGAAGAAAGATCTTCAGTCAGCAAAGGTCTTAGCTAACTAAATGTTTAACTTCAGGCATCCTCTTAGTTCCAAGTTACCTCAATGGGACAACTCACTGATGCAGTTTTACTAGCAGCAGGGGTAGGGCTCTCTGATGAAGCATGTTATCAAGATCATAGATTGGGATGCTGTGAAATTTTACCTGTCCTTGGAATCGTAAAAGGAGCTGTTTATACTCAAATTCCTCAGGTATTTTTCATCCTCTTTTTCCGGGTGCTGAGGTGTGGTACCTTGCTAGGTCTGCCTAAGCCTGGGTGCAGGATGCCCTTTGGAGGGGCTTTGTTGCCTAAGCAGGAGAGAAAATGTAGCTTTTCAAGCGGGTCTGATACTAAACGTTAAGAACTTCTTTTGTTATAAATGTTCTCCTTGGGCAAAAAGCTGCGTGTATTTCTTGATTCCTGCTCTGTCATTCTCTCCTGGACATCTTTTCCTCTTTCACCATGTCCTCCCAACAGTCTGTAAGCCATGCTGCCTGCCAGGACAGGGTATGTTTAGATCCAGTCCTAAGGTCTGCAGGGAATCTGTCTTTTTCATCTTAACCGCAGGATGTGAATTTCTCCAAATGCGTGGGCAATGGCGTAGGTAGCCCTAGTTCAGCTCCAGCCCCCTTAAAGATTTTGAGACTAGCTTGTCCATCTGGTCATTCTTAGAATTATATCGCAATTATAATCTCAAGGGTCTTAATAAATCTGGGTTTTCGAGAGATTTCTACTGTAATTGGATCAGTCACTAATGTAGCCCAGATTTCTCATGGTATTCTGCTGAGATCACATCTGTTCCAATACAGTGACCCAGTTAGAGCCCAAGACATTTATGTGACTATGAACAAAGGAAATCCATTTGTAGAATGTTATAAATATTTTCATGTACAATAATGCAGCTGAAGAAATGTAGTTAATGACTATACTACCATCTAGCCTGTGGGAATAGCAGGTGGATATGAGGATGACTTTTCGGCATGCCAGACGTGGACCTGGGTGCTGATAAGCACAAGTGGGTTTTGTGAATGATTTACTTTTAAAGTGGTATAATTCTGAAAGGTTGTCTTCGTATTCGTTTCTAAGAGTATAATTTCTTTCAGTCATTGATTAGTGACAAATGCCATCTTTTGAGAAGTTCTCTTAATCTTTGGGATGTCTGTTTTGAAGGTCACTTCCATTTGTTTAAAGATTACAACTGTACACCTGAATATTTCATGAATTGTCAGTATTGTTTCTGGCTTTTGCAGTATGTCCTTGGTGGGGGGGAGGAGGGAAGGTCAGATGATAATAGAAAGATTTTTTAAAAAGTTACCAGAAAGCTACATACTGACCTAGTGGTATGTTGTCATAGGTCATGTTAGATTGTTTCTGCCACATCTGTATCTCATAACACAGGATACATCAAAATATATCTACCAACAGGAAGGCTACAAACAAAACCAAACAGCAATAGAAAAGAGCCAGAGGGACTTGCAGTGGATTTGTCTAGAGAAGGTTTAGCACTGGGTTCCCTTAAACATGTGGCATGCTGTAGGTCCTGAACAGCTTTTCACTGGTCTCCATTGCTGCGGAGTGTCATTGTCTGTGTAAGGTAGTATTTGGTGTGTAATAAAAAACACGAGACTTACTGTTCCTTGCTGAGAGCTCTTCCTCTGCATGTCAGGGGTCTGTCTTTCACTACAGAGGTCCTAAATTCAGCCTTTACCGGTGATCTGTGTTTAGACGTTTTACATTTGCGCTGTCTCACTTAATGGAGAATTGACTGCTGAAGAGAAGGTCCTTCACACTGTGGGATTATAAAATCCAGGTCATCTACAAAAGATTTGTTCTCCGATACAGACTTTTCTATATGTTGTTGTAATAAAACATGCCTTGGCAGGAGTCATTTTAGAAATGCTGTTTGTGTGAATACAACATTAGAGATAAAACTTAAAATTTGCCCTATGCTCCAGTGTTCTGAAAACTGCATTCTGCTTCCAAGAGTATTTGAACTTCATTCATACACTGGTTTCTTGAAACACTGACTTCTTGAAACATTGTTTTGAAATGTTTGGCTGCTTTGTGGACATGTTTGTTTATATTATCATTAGAGCTAGCTAATTTAGGGGACTGAGGTTCTTTGCTTTCAAGACGCCTGTTCCAAAAATCATATGCTGTTCCACTGTGGTCTTTCTTACAGATTAGCCACAGTATAGGACATGTATTGGAGCAGCCAAAATACATGTAGATAATTAGCTTTTCTACCAAGGACTAGTTTTGTTAACGTTCCCTTGATTTGACAGCTAGAATAGATGAATGTCATTCCTGACCTTTTCAATTTTACAGCTTCTTCACTTTTGTAATTCCAATTTCTGCAGCTGCAGCATGGAAATGAACTCTAATGTTCTCCAAACTCTTGAAAATGCGTTACAAACAGTTAAATTTTATAATGTTCTAAACAGTAAGAACCCTTTCTATCACTGCTTTTTAAACTATAGACTAAACGTTAGCAACCAGAAGTGGTGGACATTTCCTGACTGCTTTCAGTGAGCAGATCTGAAAAATCAAACACTAGGTATCCACATTTCATTGTAATTTATGATGATGGAAGAAATTATTCAGCCCTGAGATTTTAATTATTGCTAGAAGATTTTCTCCAGGTGTGTCTATGAATGCCTTTCATTTAATGTTATAGGGTCAAATACTGTACGCTTTATTGATGTGAATTATTCTACTGGAGCTAGTATAAGTAAATATGAAGTGAAGAAACCAGTTAAATAATCTAAATTCCAGAAGTATGATCAGGTAAACTGTTGTATTCTACTGAATCAAAATAACAATATGATTTTTTTCTGGATGAGAATCTTCTTTTCTTCTTAATTTAGTTAATTAGACATGAAGGAACAACATAAACACAGACTGTGATTAAATTCAAGAAAAAAAAGAAGAAGCTAGAGGGAATACTGTCACTATAGAGAATGTGAGGTTAAATGACTTGAACTTAAAACTATTATTATGGTGTTTTTTTCTTATACATGCGAAGTAAGACTAGTCAAGGTTTAAATATTGAATCAGGTAAAGCTAAAGCATTTAGAAACTGGGAAGCAAACAAACTGCGTAGAATAGCAAGGCCAAACTTACAAACAACAGGAATTCAAATCGTTGGCGATGTTATGTGACAGGCTCTAGGAGTGACTGCCCAAGTCATTAGCTGACGTGGCTGCAGGAATTGCTGGCAAGTTCACCAGCAACAACCTTCTGCTCCTCCTCCTGCCTGACAGCCTGATCCAGATGGGAATTCTGGTAAAGTTCACAGCGTATTAACCACTTCTTAATATATTCTTATAGTCCTTTGAAAAGCTCATTTCAAAGCTATAATATAGCTAATGGGTTGAGCCTCTTCTGAGAGTTCAAATATCCTAATGAGATTAACTCATTAAGTAACTGCTCATCACTTAGTTGCTGCTACTCTGGTTCGTTTGTGGCACTGGAAGAGAGTGCTGCCTGTGAAGATGTTAACGCTGTTTGGAGACTGTTTCTCTTCGAATATTTTTAGATTGTAACATTTTCCACGCCTGACAAGTCAGTGTCGTTTCTCTGTTATGCAAATGGCTTGGCCTGTGCAGTAACAGCCCTCCTCCCTTGAGGTTGGTCAGGCAAGGGGGACAGGTTTTGCCACTATGACATTACCTCCTTCCTTAGAAACTAGTATTAAGCCCCTCCTGACTAATTAGTTGTCTCCCAGGGGATGGACTTGTCAGTACTCGCATAACCAGAACAGCACAGATAAATTCCACAGAGCCAGGGCAAGGAAGAAGTAAAATCACCTCAAATTTTACAAATGAATCGAAAATCACAAAGGAAAAAAACACGCGTGTGAATCTGTATGGAATAGCAAAAATCATGGCAGATAACACAGATCAGCGCTAAACTCGCATACTGGTGTCAAGCAGATATTATCTCCCTTTAACAGGTGGGCTGAGTCTCCCTTCTGCTACCTTATTTTTGTCCCAGTGGTCGGGCTCCAGTTTCAAGAAATAAATGCTCCATCCCTGGAGAAAGGACACAAATAATGCCAAAGCTGGGAGATTCATTTGAAGAACTGGCTGGCCACTTGAACTGCTGGCACATTTTACTCTTAATGGGCCTTGGAGTTTCCAAAAAGGCTTACTTAAAGAAAATGCTAAAAAAGAAACAAATAGCTGTTGCTGTGATCTTGCATGCAGACACAAGTACTATCTTGCAGAAATGGCCCTTCTGCAAATAACAGGGAGCCCCATTTGCAAACCTCTGATTTGAGAAGAGTTCCCAGCGTAGGTTTCAGACACTAAAACCAGCACATCAGCGCTTCCCTTTAGGGCTTATTTGAATGATCTGAACAAGTTATGACTTTCTCTCCAGTTAATGAACCCACAACTTCAAAATCAGGCATGCGCTATTGCAATGAATGATTAAAAGCACAATGATACTGTGATGAAACTACTATATATTAAACAAGTTCATTTATAGCTATTAAGGACATAAAATAGTAGCTATTAGATACTATGCCTAAAAGATAAGAAATGTTATTTTTCTTATAGACTATGCTCCTCAAGTGTTTCTTTACCTGAAATCTTTCAGTTTGTTTTTCGAGAGCTCTGGTTTCTTGGCAGTCAGCCGTCCAAGAAACTTGAAGGATGCCGTCTGCAAAAATTTCTCAGTGGCATGGATTTGTCATGGTTTTCAGTTTTTTGGTGAGCAAAGCTGGTCAAAATTTTTAGCTTGAAAATAAAATGTGAAAGTGTCACCAGTTTGGACTATTGGTGGAGAGAAAATATAAACAAAATCTGCATTACATTTTCTCTCATGTTTTTAAACCCATTCTAGTGCTGGTTGAAATGTTTCAAATAATGATATTTTGACTGTTGAATTAGGGCAAAAATGAACAAAAAAGGGAAAGGTTTTTGTATTTTCTTTTTACAGTTAGCTATAGGATGACACAGAAAATTTCCTAATTATCAGTACCTGTTCATCTATAAGGTGAACAACGTTCAAACTATTGAACCTACTAAAATAGATCCTCCTTAGGTGTTGAGGTTTGTGGGTTTTTTTTTTTTTTTTACTTAGTTAACTAAGTTACTTGAAAAAACAATATTTTGAGCATAGTCATATGATTTGCCTAGTCAGATTGTTAGATACACTCTGTCTGCTCTTTAATATGCTATTGAACAGCCTACGCTGTGACCCTAAACACCTAATGCTGGAGCCCAAATTAGACGTCTGCTTTCTTGCTTATTGTGTTGTATTAAAGAACTTTTCCTCTACGCTCTTGGAGTGTAATAATTACAATGAAAAGTGGAAATATCTTAAAGTTTCTTAATAGTGTATCTTCTTTGGGCCTATTCAGGTAAAACATCAGTTAACATCTGTCCAAATGCAGTAGCATTAGTCAGTCAAAGAGGAGAGCAGCAATGCTTGATTGCGAATTTTTGCTGGTTGTGGACTTGTTTCAAAGACAGCAGAAGGAAATGGGAAAGAAGGGAAACTGCCAAAGTCACATCTGTATCTAACTGTGTCTAACATGATCTTTTATGTCAAATTATTATCGTAAGCAGGAAAAAACGTTGGTGTTTAGTGTCAGCTATTTGCTTACTACAACAAAGAAACTGGGAGAAGACATCAGGAATAAGAAAAGCATTAAAGAGATATTGTGCCTTTGCATTACTGACACTCTTGGGTATTATCAGTGTCCCCCTGGGACAGTGGGCAGGTGATAGCATGGTGCAGAGCCAGAGAGTATCTAGTGAGGACTGGTCCATGCAGGTGAGCTATGACTCGCAGAACCTACTGCCAGTCTGTTTTCAGGGAGCGAAATGGCAGCTGGAGCACTTTGGAAGTGTCCAGCACACTTGCTCAACCATAGGTGGCTATAAAAAAAAGTACTGTGTTACAGACTGGCCAGGGAGTGGAAGGAAATAAGTGGAGGCTCACCTATAGACAGAATACAGCATAGAAGCTATTATGGCCAGTCTGGGTAAATGGACAGAGAGCCTTGTACGGTGTACAGATATGTTGCTAATCTGGGCAAAGGAGCAGAAAAAATATCTGAATAGGAGGATGAAGGTGGTAGTAAGGATCAGGGCTGGCACTGACAGCAGGCATCCAAATACTGCCTTCTGTTTAGATCAGTAATGAAATTTGTTGACTCAGAAGTTTGATCAATATTTAATATGGGAGGCAGCGTATTGGTGCTGATGTAAGAGAGAAGTGAATATACACTGTTATCTCTGTGCTTTTCACAGATATGAGTGACAGCAGATTTCAATATTACATTCAGAGTTACTCTAGAAAAGAATGTGTTCTATCCAGCATGCAGCCCATGGTGCTCTGGAAATGCAAAGTAATAACAACTTAGGTTAATAGCATAAACCATTGATTACATGTGCTTTGATGTGAAGAACCACACCACTTACTGAATTTAGAGTCATATTGTAGCTGAAGGCAGGGACTGATTCACCGCATGATCATTTTTAGCCAAGCAGCTTCTGAATCATGGGCCTATAATTGCTTCAGATTCCTGTTATTGATCTCTCATGTCAAAATAATTGAACTTTATGGCTGACTTCTGATGCTTATTGAGAAGTCATATAATTACTTCCAACCAGCTGTGAGTCAATAGAAGTTGAGTACATACAACTACTCGAAACGCTTGATGTATAAATTTCTCTCCAAATAAGCACAAGTCCTACAACATATTAATAAATCTAGGGGCCTGGTCTTAAGTTAGAGAACTGTATCCCCTAGTATTTTTAATAATTTAAGTATCTG